GAAATTGGTGTCGAAAAAAATGAAAATAAGGCATCTATTTATTATAAAAAATCTGCTGATAGGTTTTTCAATGGTATTGGGGTTAAAAAAGATGCAAATAAAGCATTTAGATATTATCAAAAATCTGCAGAGTTGAAAAATGCCAATGTGCTATTCAATCTCGGTTATTGTTATCAGCATGGATTTGGAGTTCAAAAAGATGAAAATAGTGCATTTATATATTATCAAAAGTCTGCAGAGTCAGAAAATACTGATGGGTTATTCAGTCTTGGTTATTGTTATCAACATGGAATCGGAGTTAAAAGAGATGAAAATGAGGCATTTGCTTATTATCAAGCATCTGCAGAGTTAGGAAATGCCGCTGGATTGTTCAATCTTGGATATTGTTATCAACATGGAATTAGTGTTGGAAAAAATAAAAATAAGGCATTTATTTATTATCAAAAATCTGCAGAGTTAGGAAATGCAGATGGATTATTTAATCTTGGCTATTGTTATCGATACGGAATTGGTGTATATAAAGATGAAAATAAATGCAAAGAAATTCAAAATAAGTTATACAAACTTGGTTATTATTATCAATATGGAATTGAGGTTGAAAAAGATGAAAATAAAGCATTTATTTATTATCAGAAATCTGCAGAGCTAGGAAATTCCAGTGTATTATTCAATCTCGGTTATTGTTATCAACATGGAATTGGGATTAAAAAAGATGAAAATAAGGCACTTATATATTATCAAAAGTCTGCAGAGTTAGGAAATGCCGATGGGTTATTAAGTCTCGGTTATTGTTATCAACATGGAATTGGTGTTAAAAAAGACGAAAATAAAGCATTTATTTATTATCAAAAATCTGCAGAGTTAGGAAATATAGACGGATTATTCAATATAATTGGCGTCGAAAAAGATGAAAATGGGTATCAAGAATTTACTAATAAGTTATTCAATCTCGGTTATTGTTACCAACATGGAGCCGGAGTTGAAAAAGATGAAAATAAAGCATTTATATATTATCAAAAGTCCGCGGAGTTAGGAAATGCCGATGGATTATTTAATATCGGTTATTGTTACCAACATGGAATTGGAATTAAAAAAAATGAAAATAAAGCATTTATATATTATCAAAAATCTGCAGAGTTAGAAAATGCCAATGGGTTATTCAATCTGGGTTATTGTTATCAGCATGGAATTGGAATTGAGAAAGATGAAAATAAAGCATTTATATATTATCAAAAGTCCGCAGAATCAGGAAATGCCGATGGATTATTTACTTTCGGTTATTGTTATCAACATGGAATTGGTGTTAAAAAAGATGAAAATAAAGCATTTATTTATTATCAAAAATCTGCCGAGTTAGGAAATGTAGATGGGTTATACAAGCTTGGTTATTGCTTTCAGCATGGAATTGGCGTTGAAAAAGATGAAAATAAGTATCAAGAATATTCTGATAGGTTATTCAATCTCGGTTATTGTTATCAGTATGGAACCGGAGTTGAACAAGATGAAAATAAAGCATTTATTTATTATCAAAATCCGCAGAGTTAAAAAATGCCAATGGGTTATTTAATATCGGTTGTTGTTATCAACATGGAATTGGTGTTGAAAAAGATGAAAATATGGCATTTATTTATTATCAAAATTCTGTAAAGTTAGGAAATGCAGATGAGTTATTCAACCTCGGTTATTGTTATCAGCATGGAATTGGTGTTGAAAAAGATGAAAATAAGGCGTCTATTTATTATAAAAAATCTGCTGATGTGTTTTTCAACGGAATTGAAATAAAAAAAGATGAAAATAAAGCGTTCATTTATTATCAAAAATCTGCAGAATTAGGAAATGCCGATGGGTTATCCAATCTTGGTTATTGTTATCAGTGTGGAATTGGAGTTGAAAAAGATGGAAATAAAGCATCTATTTATTATAAAAAATCTGCTGATGGGTTTTTAAACTTGGAGTTAATAAAGACGAAAATAAAGCGTTTATATATTATCAAAAGTCCGCAGAGTCAGGAAATGCCGATGGGTTATCAAGCCTCGGTTATTGTTATCAACATGGAATTGGTGTTAAAAAAGACGAAAATAAAGCATTTATTTATTACCAAAAATCTGCAGAGTTAGGAAATGCAGATGGGTTATTCAATCTTGGTTATTGTTATCAGCACGGAATTGGCGTTGAAAGAGATGAAAATAGGCATCAAGAAACTGCCGATAGATTATTCAACCTCGGTTATTGTTATCGACATGGAACTGGAGTTGAAAAAGATGAGAATAAGGCATTCATTTATTATAAAAAATCCGCAGGATTAAACAATGCCAACGGATTATTGAATCTCGGTTATTGTTATCAACATAGAATTGGTGTTGAAAAAGATGAAAATAAGACATTTATTTATTATCAAAAATCTGCAGAGTTAGGAAATGCCGATGGGTTATTCAACTTCGGTTATTGTTATCAGCATGGAATTGGTGTTGAAAAAGATGAAAATATGGCATCTATTTATTATAAAAAATCCGCAGATGGGTTTTTCAATGGAACTGGAGTTACAAAAGATGAAAATAAAGCGTTCATTTATTATCAAAAATCTGCAGAATTAGGAAATGCTGATGGGTTATTCAATCTCGGTTATTATTATCAATATGGAATTAAAGTTGAAAAAGACGAAAAAAAGTCGTTTATTTATTATCAAAAATCTGCGGAGTTAGGAAATGCCGATGGATTATTCAACCTCGGTTATTGTTATCGACACGGAATTGGTATCGAAAAAGATGAAAATAAGTGTCAAAAATCGGCAAATAGGTTATTCAATCTCGGTTATCGTTATCAACATGGAACTGGAGTAAATAAAAATGAAAATAAAGCATTTATTTATTATCAAAAGTCTGCCGAGTTAGGAGATAACGATGGGTTATTTAATATCGGCTATTGTTATCAACATGGAATTGGAATTGAAAAAGATGAGAATAAAGCATTCAAACATTATCTTAAATTAGCTATGCTAGGAAACAATAAAGGACTAGATAAAATCAAAAATATTTATAATTTGTCATTAATTACTTATAATGAATTTAAAGATGTTGAAGAAATTGGAAAGGGAGGATTCTCAACAGTTTATAAAGCTCGATGGAAAAATCAAAATCGATGGCTACATGTCGCTCTCAAATTAATTCACAACCAAGAATATGCGAACGAGGTATATAATCATGAAAATTATTGTGGGGCTGAAGCTGAAATTTGCTGAAACTGAAAATTTGGGGTCTCTATTTAGATCTATAAACCCTACTAAAGTTCGCCTATACTTTTTTTTTTATTACAAAATTGCCCAACGCAGACTTTTTGTTTGCAATAAAATAGGACAAATTTTCAGCTTCTTCCAATTTAAGTTTCAGCAACCACAATTATTTATTAATTTGACGACATATGTACTAATAAAATTTATTTAGATCAAAGCATATTGTGATATTAGCTTTAAAAATGCATCATTTATAAAATTCTATGGATTATCACATAATAACAGCGCTGAAAATTATGTTCTTGTATTGGAATATGCTGATAATGGTTCTTTATGTAATAATCTTAACATTATTACGCAAATGAAATGGGAAGAAAAAATAGAAATTTTAAATTCCATTGCTTTTAATCTTGAAGCAATTCATTCTAAAGGATTTATTCATCGAGATCTTCATAGCGGAAATATTTTACAAGATAATTTACATAATGCATATATTGCTGATTTAGGACTAACAATATCAACAAATAAAAAACAAGATGGAATTTATGGGGTCATACCATATGTTGCTCCGGAAGTTTTACAGGGCAATCCATTTACACAAGCAGCAGATATATACAGTTTTGGAGTCATTATGACGGAAATAACAGCTGGAAAAAGACCATTTGATGGTGATCCATTTGATATTGGCCTTTCATTAAGGATTTGTCAAGGAGAACGGCCGAAATGCGCTCTGGGAACACCTGATCATTATATAAAATTAGCCGAACGGTGCATGGATTCCGACTTTCAGAAAAGACCTACCGCAAATGAAATTAAAGTTGAAGTCGAAGATTGGCTTAAAAAAATTGAAAGCCCAATTGAAACCGAAATCAAGAAACAATTTTTGGAATCTGACAAGAACAAGCCAGAACCAATCGAACAAGAACATCCGCAACATATGTACACTTCAAAGCTCATCAACACGCAGGAGATCATAGATGGATTAACAAACGTTAGCATGAGTAAATCCATTGAATTTGAAATCTGATAAGTAAATTATAAATGTTAATTTCATTGAAGATTTTTTAATTTTATATTTTATCACAATAAATTCCAAATTATCTACTTCATACGTTTTTACTCAATTGTATAAAATAAAATTTTGCACAGAGACGGCAGCACATTTTTTTTTTTTTGTGTGTATATGTTAATATGTTCTCGAGTAAGAAAATTTCATTAGTTTAGTGTTTTATAGGATATCTACACGCAACAAAAGCATAACTAGTCACATATAGGGATGGGTTCGACTACGAACGGCTACGATTATTCATAGCCAATTTGCTAAATACTGAGATGATTTTTTGTTCTTGAACTTTTAATTGAAATTGTTCAGAATTAAATTCTGTTCATCCCATCTTATAAGTGGAAAGAACGATACCTTCTCTGGAACTCGAATTTTAAGATTTGTTAACGTTATAGTAGGATATTAGCCGGCGACTAGTAGCCGGCTATGACGTTAACAAATCTTAAAATTCGAGTTCCAGAGAAGGTATCTTTCCACTTATAAGATGGGATGAACAGAATTTAATTCTGAACAATTTCAATTTAAAGCTCAAGAACAAAAAATCATCTCAGTATTTAGCAAATTGGCTATGAATAATTGTTGCCGTTTGTAGTCGAGCCCATCCTTACATGTATTTCCGTTATCACTGCCTGGGACAATCCACTAATACCCAACGACCCAAGATATTATTATTACTAATGCGCCGATAAGAACAATTTTGAATTTGTATGGTACAGGTGACACTATTAATAGTAGTGCTCCTAATAAACGGGTCGGGTCGTGTTTGGGGTCATCTCACAACAACCCGGATTCTGACCCGGGTTCCCAAATTGCAAATCTTTCAAATAAACAATGCTATTTTGCGTTTATTTGTATTTATTAAAATATTACTGTATTATACGAAATTACATGCAATCAAAATAAATTAATTATAGAATTTAGAGATTAAATCTTTAAAAATAAAGTTATACAAATAATTTTATGCTCTAGAAATCTAATTTATTTTGCTATGCAATTTCCCCTTCTCTAACATGCCGTAAGAATGAAAACTATTGTTTTATAATCTAGTTGAGAATGTTCATTTGGTATTTTAAAAATATTATCGCACGGTACTATAACGATATATAAAGACAATTATTGTTCATGTGATATGATCATGTAAAATTTTTTGCCTTGATATTTTTGTCATAAAATGTCATCATCATTTATGCAAAATATCACGGCAAAAAATTTCACATGCTAATATAATATAAACAATAACATCAATATTGGTCATACTAAAATAACAGGACATTTTTTTCATCGGAGCTCTCATGTGCTGCTACGCAGCACATGGGAGTGACATGAACTCCGATGAAAAAAATGTCCTGTTATTTTTAATCGTATGACCAATATCTTATAATTCTTTCTCTCAATTTCTTTCTTTTTAATATTTATCTATTAATTTTTTTCTTTTATCGATTGTGCAATATTACGTAGCAATAATTTATTTACATAGCGATAGTTTATTTCTAATTTATTTACGTAACAATAGCTTCTAATTTATTTACGTGAATAATTTATCTTTATTTATATGCCAATTAACCCGGGTCATGTACTGATCAAATAGGGTCGGGTTATCGAACGGGTTGAACAGTACAACCCCATTTAGTTAGGAGCACTAATTAATAGGGATGGACCTTGTAAGGGCCGGGACTGAAACCGTAACGGACTGAGAACTGAATGATTTTCAGTCTTCGGTCCTTAATGGCCCGGCCCTGGTTCAAACAATGGTCTCACGGTAGTTGATAAAAAAAATTATGAATTTATAAAGAATAAAAAAATATTTTTTTTTTTCATTTCAACGATGACCGATAATAAAGAATTTTTATCTTCATTTCCTAATGCTTCACAAAAAAAATGAAACGCATTACAACTATGCTAACTACTACTGTGTTGTGAAAATGATTTAACGTAAATTATTGTTTGGAGTTTGAATGTAGATATTCTTTACATTACAAATCAATTGTATTATACAACTCAATTTAATTAATTAAAAACAATATCAGAAATACGTACGTACAGTACTTCTGCATTTACTTTCAAACATCTCAAACGCATAATTTGATTTAAACTTTATTTTGTTTTGTATAAATTAAAAATAAAATTTAACTATTTTTGTAAACGATTAGCGTAAATGTACGCTATAAATAACAATAAAAAATTTATTTGATACTATATGTCATTGAACATGAGTCTAACAGGCGCTGAACTCAATGATCTTGGATGGAAATATCAAAATGGCACTGGAGTCGAGAAAGACGAACATAAGGCTTTCGAATACTATAAAAAATCTGCAGAGATAGGGAACGCTAGTGGAACATATAACGTTGGATTTTGTTATGATGAAGGAATTGGAGTTGAAAAGGATGAACATAAGGCATTCATATATTATCAAAAATCTGCAGAGATGGGGAATACTAATGGAACATATAACGTTGGATATTGTTATCGACATGGAATTGGAGTTGATGTGGATAAACATAAGGCATTCATATATTATCAAAAATCTGCAGAGATGGGGGTCGTTGATGGAACATATCACGTTGGATCTTGTTATCGAAATGGAATTGGAGTTGAAAAGGATGAACATAAGGCATTCATATATTATCAAAAATCTGCTGAAATGGGGTTCGCTGCGGGAAAATATGCCGTTGGACTTTGTTATCAGGATGGAATTGGAATTGAAAAGGATGAACATAAGGCATTCACATATTATCAAAAATCTGCTGAGATGGGGCTCGTTGATGGAATAACTCAAGTTGGATATTGTTATCTAAGTGGGATTGGAGTTGAAAAGAATAATGATAGGGCGTTTATTTATTTTAAAAAATCAGCAGATATGGGGCACGTTGTTGGAATGATAGAAGTTGGAAACTGTTATAGAAAAGGAATAGGAGTATTAAGGGACATACAACGGGCTAATCATTGGTATCGAAAGGGAAGAAATATGAAAAAGATAAACATAGATGGATTACACGAAGGCTTAGATTATGACGAACTAAAGAAAGTAATAAATGACGAAAAATATAAATTAACGTGGATTCCTTACAACGAATTTAAAAATGTAATTGAAATTGGAAAAGGAGGTTTTGCTACTGTTTATTATGCAGAATGGATTGATAAAAATGAAAATACATGGAAGTATGTTGCATTAAAAGTAATTCATAATTCAAATGAATGTAGTCAAGAATTTGTTGACGAGGTAATATCAATTAAATATTTTGTACTTATTTTTATTTTATCATTCAAATCATTTAATTTGAAGTTATTTAACTGTAGTTACAAAAATATTGTGATATTGGATATGAAAATCCATCGTTTTTAAAATGTTACGGAGTATCAAGGGATCCAGTTTCAAATGATTATATTATAGTTTTGGAATATGCAAAGGAAGGATCATTGCGTAAAAATCTCACCAAAGTTGTAAAAATGGATTGGAAAACAAAGTTAAATCTGCTGTATTGTGTGGCTTCAGATCTTGAATCCATTCATTCTCAAGAATTAATCCATAGAGATTTACACTCCGGAAATATCTTGCAAGATCTTTTGAATAATGCGTACATCACTGATTTGGGTCTTTCAACATCATCTGATATCAAACAAGATGGTAAAATTCATGGTATTATGCCCTACATAGCTCCTGAGGTCTTGATGGGTCAAGAATTTATTCAAGCGGCTGATGTATATTCTTTCAGTGTTATTATGACCGAGATATCTACTGGAAGAAAAGCATTTGATGGCGTTCCTTTTGATACTAAACTCGCTATAAAAATATGTAAAGGATATCGGCCAGAACTTGGTGAAGGAACTCCAAAATGCTATGTAAAATTGGCCATGCGATGTATGGATTCTGATCCAAATAAACGACCAACAATTAGTGTCATCAGCTCAAGAATTGTCTATTGGCTCGACGAGATGGAACAGGACGAACAGGATGATGATGATAACAAGATCAAAAAACAATTCTTAGAGGCCAATAAAATAATACCAAAAATCGATTCATCGATTCATCCGGGTCATATGTATACGAGCAAATTAATTGAAACAAAAAAGATAAGCGAAGTTTTAAATTCAGATAGTCAGAATATGTCTATTCAAGATTTGTGTATTTCTGACTATGATATTTCGAATTATGCTCACGTAAAAATTGAGTTAAGATAATTTATAATGCAAACGTTCAAATTTTTATTAGTTATGTTTAAGATAGAATTTGTTTAAAGCAAAGACCTCTTCAATTGATAAGTTATAACGTTTTTTAAAGTTTTGAATTCAGGATGTTTATAATAAAATACAAATATATATTAATGCGCATCACTGGTGCCTTATAACTTTAGGTGTTCTCAAACTCCTTAATCAATGGGCTAAAAAGTGTCATTGAATAAATTTTACTTAACGGAATATATTTTAAGTGGGCCAAGTGTATTGATCATTGTGATGAATATTAAATAACAAACGTAATTTGATAAAGTTTATTACGTGAATACAATATTTTTATAGTAAAAAAAAAACGTTAAGTGAGTTTGTTATTTCAATTTACAAACTTTTTTTCGCAAACCATCTTTTTTACATACCTGATTTATCAAAATTTACAATTAATTGAGTATTCAAAAAGATCACTCAAGTAACTTTGTCATCATCAACAAATTATTTTTTTATTCATTACACCAAAGGTTTTTATGACCAATAAAAAAAAAAAATACCAGAAAGCCCAAAAAACAAATGCGGACGTTTACCATTTTTTGCCAGCAACGAATTTCACTATTTTGTCAATAATTTCTTTATTTCGTACAACAATTAAATATCAACGAAGTACTAAACCTAGTGACGACGAATAATTTTACGGATGATCGTGAAATCGGATGGTGAAATTTGGATCTAGATAAGGCTTATATTTTCAAATCGAGACCCCTTCATCCGATTTCACGATCGTCGCAACAAATAAT